GGGGTAGCTAAGCTTAGTTTGACATAACACAGGCATCTCAGCTTCTGCACGGGCCACCCAGAGCTCCTGGGCACCTGGGAATCATCTTACCTAACCCTCGTCACTGCTAACGGGTCTCCTGTGTCGTGTGTGTGAGGATTTCTCCATCTTTCTCTCAGCAACTCTTTTCTCCGCCGGTATATCGTTGTCGGGGATGGGAGAATGACAAATTATATTAGATACTACCTTGAGATATGCAGCGCCAAAAGTTGGGACCTTGGAGTCTTGGACTCTCTTTCTGGAAAAGTCTGATCTGGCAATCATAGACATGACCCCCCTGAGTCCATGATGGTCCCAGAAGCTTCCCTCGTGGTGTACGGGACCCCTGGCAGCATCGCTGAACATGAAATCAAAAGACAGGTCACCGCAATTTTCAGCTTGCCGACATCTCACCAAACCTGCGGAGTACACTGTACGGAGTACCAGGACATACGTAATTCTAACCCTACAGGTACTTCGTCACCGTCCAGTGTCAAAATTCACCGAGAAGTTCACCGAAAGCCACTTTCTCACGTGCTGTGGTGCCGAAGTATACGTATACGGGTATACCTCGTATACGGTATCAACATGTTACTCATTATGGCTTGCCATCTATTCTTTGTAGTCTTCCAGGTTTCCGTGCAATCCTGTTGCGAAGACCATGTCCTTTGCCACTTTGTAAAATCTGATATATATCCTGTGTTTTGTGAATATTAGCCAGGTTGAAGGAGTCGAGACATTCCATGATCCCTCTCTCAGCTGCAAAGGTCTGACGCCTTCCCATACATTATACCACAAACACCTGTGATATTCCACGAATCACGAATCACGAATCACGAATCACGATATAAATTATATAATGATTCAACAGTCCTATCAACATGTGCTTGCTTTCGTGGGCACTTCAGGTCTTTCGAGGCAGGGCCTCTTACAGGAACATTTCCAGCTCATCTGGGACAGAGATGACTCCTCTCGACGAAGAGAATCCGGATGCGATGATGAACGGCCAAAACATCGGACCGAGGTACCCGAAAGCCGTGAACTGGACCAGCAGCCCAGGAAGTCGCGGCCAGGAGAGTTACCCACTAGCAGTGTCCCTTTCGAGCTTTAGAGCTCCAGGAGGGAAGGGTATGCGACGTATAGGGAATATTACGCGTCCAGCCCAGGTAAGTTACTCTTTATCATGTCGGACATGCCCCCGTTCCAGGTTCTCTCTTCGCTTCTCTTCTTCAAACCCATCGATTCACTTTTTTATTTGTGATCTTTAATGAAGAAAGAAGAAAAGAAAAAGAAACACATACACTTTACCCATAACCATGGCTCGCATATACTATATTCTGAAGAGAAGAATAGGGCCCTGGAGGCTTGTGCTAGCTGGTATGGAATACGGATAAGGGCAAAGAAGGTCTGTTTCAGACTACCAACCAACCATGGACGCATGGTAGGTGTGGGACATGGGCCACGATGTAGGCCATGCAGCCAAAGCGCCAACGAGGGAAGTCAAAGTAGTGTCACGAGATGCGCATGGGGGGCCGCGAAAATCATGGGAAGGAAAATGGGAAGCGAATCGACTTGTCATATTTGGGCCTCACTGCATCATCCGTCTGAAAACTACCCAGTCCAATAAATTCCTGCTGTCCCGTCGTCTTGGAACTTGGAATGCGGGAGAGTTGACGATTTTCGACGGCATCGTGCAGACATGGGAGGGGAAAGGGGAGAGGGGAAAGGGGGGCAACAGCACCAACAACTTCACCGGATATGCAAGACAACCCCCCGGTATGTCATCTCAGCCTATCGCTCGACAAGGATTGCCATCCCATGAAGATAGTGACGTCCCGGCAGCCTGGACATGTCTCAACACCCAACGTACGAAGAACGCATGGCCTGGCCCCTCAGGGAGGAGGGGAAAACAGGTGCACACCCCCCTTTCCGCTCCGGCCCAATGCGGACGTTACATATATAATATCCCAGTGATTGTGATGGGCACTATGGGACGCACGGCTCGACCCGTCTCCCTTCCGGAACGAAGATTCCGCTTATTAGAGGCTAGTGGCGTATATAATCGTGGAGTATGGACGTAGGGTGAAGAACAATGTGTTACCGGACGGCCCGGACCCATCGGACATCCTATTGCTCCTCCGGACCCGGAACCCGGAGCCCGGACTTTGGAGCGCAGGGCTGAAGAACAATATGAAGAACGCAAGTCACGTTCCGACTGTGTAATGAACAGAACAATTCAACAATGTCTCGGTTCAGTGAGAGTCCGCGCTCGTGTAGCCTCAACTGAGGCACTGTGCTTGGTGACTGTACTTGACTCGCCAGGGGGGTTGCATGCAGCATGTATGATGTATTTCAGTATCTGCAGCGAACCATCTTCCTGGCCCAGGTCAGCAATTCGATCCTGATCAGGCCTGTTCTAGACGCGATCTCCTTCTTCCCTCTTTCTCTTCTTCTCTCCTTTTTCTGGCTAGGTGGCTGCCTCCTTGGAGAATACAACACTTCTGCAGTTCGTCGGACGGTGAGAGAAACTGCAGCTCGACCAACACGCCGCCCTGAAGGACCAAGGTGCCATCAGAGCACAGCATATAAAGCTCTCCTCCTCCCTGGTTCGTCTGAGACTCTGAGTTGATTTGACTAGGCAGCAAGCAGCCAGCAGCCAGCAGCCAGCCCAGCTCTCTACTCCCGCCTGACGATCCTCTCCCCGAGTCTGAGTCCTGACTGCAATCAAATTCTTTCCATCTCTTCTCTCCAAGACCATGAAGCCCTCCCATCTCGCTGCCATTTTGGCCACCTTCCTCCCCGCCAGGGCCTGCCTGACTCCCCGCGAGCGTCGCGGCGAACCCCGCGTCCCCCCCATGGGTCCCAACCGCCGAGCTACCACCGAACACCCAAGCGTGCCAGTGGCCACAGGAGACCGTTTCAAAGGCGGAACCATCGTGCCCCGCGGTCTCGGAAGCGGAGGCGAACCAGAAGCCAAGGCCTTCAACTCGGCCGAAATCAACTCGGCCTTACAAGCCCTAGCCAGCGAATTCGAGCAATCCACCAACCTCTTCGAAGCACCTCACAAAACCCACGAGAACCGCACCACCATAGGCATCACCCTGACGAGCGGCTGCGGAACCCCGGGCCAAAGCAGGCGCAAAATCAAGGGCAGAGAGTCGTCCCACAGCGCAAACCCCGACGACCCCGCCAACCCCGCCGACCCCGGAATCCGCGCATACCTCCAAGCAGGCATCCACTCCCGCGAGCGAGGCGGGCCGGACCACATGCTCTACTTCCTCTCCGACCTCCTCTGGGCCTCCCGCGAAGGAACCGGCCTCCGCTACGGCGGCCGCGCCTACACCGCCTCCGAAGTGCAAACCGCCCTCCGCCTCGGCATCGCCGCCATCCCGAACCTCAACCCAGACGGCCTGGCCCACGACCAAGCCACCAACCTCTGCTGGCGCAAGAACCGCAACCCGGCCAGCCGCGTCCCCGACCCCATCCACCCCGAAGACGACCGCTCCGTCGGCGTGGACCTCAACCGCAACTACGACGCCGCCTGGAACTTCACCCACTATTTCTCATCCGACGCATACCCCCCCGCCTCGGCGGACCCCAACAGCGAGGCCTTCTACGGCACGGGACCCCTCTCGGAGCCCGAAACCCGCAACTCGGCCTGGGTGCTGGACCGTTTCCCTTCCGTCGCCTGGTTCGTCGACCTGCACGCCCCCGCGAACGCCATGCTGTACGGCTCCTTCTTCGACACCCTGCAGAGCGCCGACCCGGACATGAACTGGCAGAACCCCGAGTACGACGACGTGAGGGGCGTGGTGGCGGATAATCCTACCTCGGCCGCCTACGGGGAGTATGTCCCGCAGGAGGACTGGGATGCCCTTATATTGGCGGCGGAGCGCATGGCTTGGGGGATCCGCTCTTCCGGGACCATCGACGGGGGACCTCGCGTCTACCAGGGGGCTTTGTTCGCGCCTACCTCCGGCTCGTCTACCGACTTTGCTTATAACCGGCATTTTGTCGACTCGGAGAAGCAGAAGGTTCTTGGTATCGGGTTCGAGTTTGGTGATTTCCGCGAGGACTGGGACAGAGTCCCCTGCCCGTTTTATCCAACCGCCGAGCGCTACACGCAGGATATGAAGGAGGTCGGCGCTGGTCTTATGGAGTTTCTCCTGACGGCTGCCAGGTTGAGTTGATCGGCAGGATCAAGGCATAATACATAATATCCGGGTATAGAAGCATAGAGACGCAGGGCTGGGGAGTTGGGGAAGAGGCCAAGGTAGATGACGGCGGGTGAGAGAAGGCATATCATGTTCATGGGCGAATCTTCCTTTCATCACGCTCCTTACCCCTATCCTCTGAGGATTAGGGTCGTTTTCAGGGGCAGAATCAAGTATGAACAGAAAAACATTATACGAATTGCATCATGATATATATGCCCGAGGTGTCCATCCCTCATTATTAGTTCAGTCTCATCAATACTCATTGTCACGTCAAGTTTCCATCCGTAGACCTTACAAAGCGTATCTTCATCCAGCTGCGATGCTACCTGCTCGCATCGGCCTTCGAGACACAAGCGTTCCACGTGTCGGATTCGAATCGGACCCTGGCACTCTTCGAAAAGGAGGAATCTTCCGAAGAGAAAAACCTTCGGCTGAGGCAAGTGGCCTTGGTGAGGCTGCTGCAGGAAGTCAACCTCCCCCCCCCCCCCCCTTTTTTTTTTACTTCCAGTCATCCGCTTACCCCTGCCACGTCACCCTCTTCTCCCGGAAAATGCTCACCATCCCCATGGGCAAAAGCCCCGAATCCACAATATTCAACCCCCCAAACCGATCCACAATCTCCGGCCCGTACATCATGGTCACCCACTGCCAGTAAGGCTCCATTTGCGGCCAGCTCGACGTGATGCCCCGCAGATTCGCCTGGCCCGCGAGCTGCTGGAGCGCAGCCCGGATCCTGGCCTCGTCCAGTTCGACGCTCTGCTGCTTCGGCTCCTGCATGAGCTTCCCGAAGACGTGGTGCGCCTGCAGGGGCATTTTCAGGTCCACCTCCTCCCGGTAGCGGACGTATTCCTCAAAGGCGATGAAGGTGTCCCGCTCCTGCCGGGTCTCGGGTTGCCAGTTGGGCTCGTCGAGGGCGTACCGCTCCCTCTTGGTGTCGCCGTTCTGGAACCGCTGCAGGGCCTCCTCGTAGCCGCGCCGTTCCGACTTGGCGAGGTCCTCCAGAAGCTGGTGGGGCGAAGCGAGCACCGAGTCGCGGATCTGCAGGAGGGTGATGAAGGGCGACTTGAGGTCCAGGCCTCCCATCTCCACCGGGAAGAAGAAGTAGCCGTCGGGCACGTCCGTGGTCTGGAACCGCCGTTCGAGCGTCTTCTTGAGATAGTCCACGACGCTGGAAGCAACGGGTGCATCGTCGGAGGGGCGTCCGGTAGCGGAGTCGGCCGGGGTGGCGAACACGCCCTTCTGGATCCGCTCATGGGTAGCGAGCATCTGATCGACGTGCTCGACGCCATAACAGTTGGCCGGCTTGCCAAAGTTGGACGAGAAAAATGTCGCGGCATACGTGTTCCACGCCTGGATGTACCCGAAGATGCTCTTGTTCTTATCACGCAGCTGCGTCTGGAGTTCCTTGATGTGTTTGTCGACCATGGTCTGGTCGATCTCGAACCGTCCGGTCAAAGGCGACAGCTGCAGGAACCCCCAGCGGATTTCGCCCTGCGGGAGAGAAGCATCCAACGGCAGGGATACGTTGGGGTCGTGGGCGATGCGCACCGAGCCCGTTTTCTTCTCGTTGATGGACGTGCCGGTGGCGGCTGCGAACTCGCGTACCGTCTTCCAGGCGGTGACCGAGACGTCATGGTCCGGCGACCAGAACCAGATATCGTCGTGGATCCTCCACAGGGGTTGGCCGCATGTGGACTGGTTGATGGCAAAGTCCAGGCAAAAGAAGACGGTCTCCCCAAAACAGTCACTGAGGACGTGGGCGGCCGGAGTCCCTCGACGACGAGGACGCGGGCGTACGGACGCGTCGTCGTCGGTGAACTTGAGTGGTGCTGTGAGGAAGGTGCGGAAGAAGGCGAGCCACGTCTCGGACACGCCGAGGAACTCCATCACGCCGAGAATGGTCTCGTGAGGCAGAAGAGGGTTCCACTGGTCAAAGACGGAATGGAAGGCGGTGATTTCCCCATTGAGGTTGGTGTTGAGAAGAATGTCGGTGGAAAGCAGGTGAAGAAGTCTCTGCTTGCGTTGCATGGGGTTTTGGGGCCCATTGTCACCCTCATCTTCAGACTCCGCTTCCGAGGAGCCCGAGGAGTCCGGGGAGGGCATCATGGAGAAGCTCATCGCTTGCTGAGCAGGAGCGGCTACTTTCCGGAGTGCTGGCGCCGCTGCTCGCATCACCTGCGCCGCCCGGCGAGGAGCCTGCTGAACCGAAGCCCTCGCACGCTTGTGGGCTCGGTTTTCGTACTCGGCCTCCTCCTCGCCTTCGGCATTCCCGACCACCTGTGCGTCGTGGCTCAGAAGCTGGGCCATGAAGTAGTGATCTCGGTAAATCTGGCCGCGACGCGACACGAGACAGCCGCTCGTGGAGATTGGTCCCAAGTAGTAGCCCAACCTCCTCCGGACGGCCCCGGGAATCGGCTTCCCCATGGGTTTCCAGGCATCGACGGCGCCGCGGAAGGCGGTGAAGGCTCTCTTGAGAAACACGGACCACTTGACGCCGATGTGCTGCAGGAAAATGGCCTGCAAGAGGTCCTCGTGCATGGTGATGTTAAAGATGCCGGAGATCTGGCGGCGTTGCTCGATGGGCACCTCGTCGCCCCAGGACCATGAAGACAGGGCGGCCATCCGCATGTTGAGAACGTCGGCAATCTCGGTCAGGATGACAGGGTTGTTTTGGAAATCCCTCAAGACTTCACGTTTTTCGTCGGAGAGGAGACCCGATGCCAAAAGTCCGCTAATCGCCCACTGAAGGGTGCCTTGGGTGAACTGGGTGGCGTAAAGCATGCTCGCTTCGAAGAGCCTGACTTCGGTTCTCATTGACTTGAGCGCGTCCCAGACTTTTTCCTTGTCCGAGTCCCGGAAGCCAAAGAGCCGTTCCAGATAGCTCTTCAGGAGGCCCTCGTCAACGTTAGCAGGCTCGAAGACCATCTTTTCCCACTGCATCCTCGCCTCGAGCTTCGCGGCGGTGCCGACATCCTCAAAGTCTTCGCCCATCTCGACGTCGACATCGCTGCTCTTGGCCGGGGCACTGCCGCTTCGATCACCCGAGAGCCACTCGGTCACGAGCTGGCCGTAGAGAGAGGCATACTGGTACTTGAGGGACTGCGTGTCGAGATGGCCGACCAACGAGTTCTCCCATCGGCTCAGCATCTTGGCCGAGACGGAAGGATCATGGCGGGCCTGCGCCAGGAATCGGTCGAGGTTCTTGAGTTCGGTCGTGAGGGGGACATGCTTGCCGCGGCTGTCATGGGGGATGGAGGCCGCGCGGTTGCGGTGCTTCGGATTTCGGTGGTCCCAGTTGACGGCGAAGCACTTCTTGACACCCGAGCTGAGCTTTTCGAGGCGCTTGACGGGGTCCTCCTCCTCGCGAACAGAAGATAGGACGGCAGCCTTGGCAGCTTCGAAGCTCTGACGGCGCTTGGAGAGCTCATCGAGCTTCGTCCTGGTGATCTCCTGAAGGGTTTCGGAGAACACGCTACCCGATGCCGCCATTGCGTGAGACGGTGAGACGAGCAATGACAGGCTACTGATGAGGTTGAAGTCGAATGGAAGGAATGGGAAGCACTTGCACGGGTGTGGTGAAGATACGCAACTGATGAAGGGGGTAGTTGAGTAGTAGATCTGGAGATTGGAATAGAACAAGTGCTGAATCCTAATATACAGAGAGTGTGACGTTCAAACTTATTGACCTGACGTCTACAGTGCAGATTAACGCCAGTTGTTGAGATGTGGTGACCGGATGTCAGAAGAAGAGGGAGGAGAGGGGAGACTGATGTAGTGACTGAGGGGGACCCCATCCTTATATAACAAGTCCTGTGGTTGGGGTTGGGGTGACAAAACTTAGGGAGGAGCCAGGGGAGGGAAGGAGTGACGAAGGCGAACGCAGGCAGCAGTGTCTGAGAAGACGTTTCTTGTCGCTCTCACAGAGTACCTACCTAGGTATATACCAAGTACATATCTTGATCTGATTTGTTCATAGATACACGTGTACCCCGCGAAAATGTAGTCTTTCGCTACTGTTGTGGGTACGTAGTACTTGATTCGTAAGTATCTGGCTATTTTCAGGTTAAGGTATTTAGACCGTTTACGGAACTTAACGGACGGCTCGTAGGTACACTTCATGATACCTAGCTATTGGTGTATGGATATTTTTCGACAGGCCCATATTCTATCTACGCATATATCAATTGCATAACATCTAACTCATGTACTTATAAAGGACTATATAAGAAAATCTATCGTTCAATAATCTCGTTTCTGGCGAAGCGGTAGGTACAAGTTCGAGGGTTACGATGAGGCGGTGGAGTCAAATGCCCGGTGCAGGCCGATGTCCCACTTTAATTAGCTTACGTTATACTCCCGTCAGGGTTCTATGGTGAGAACCGGCTGTGACAGAGATGAACAACATCACGACAGCTCTAACCATCCAGGAACATTTTTCATACAGTATCTACTTAGACGTCCACCCTTTTTCTTTTATGATTCATCTACATGACTCTGTTTTGCATCCAGCTCTCATCCTTCATATACAAGCCACCTAACCCTTCGTTCGCTATAGGCGGACGTCACTTTTGCCCAGGAGCCCAAACCCCCAACCAACCTGGATCTCTGAGCCTCCTCGGAAAATATACATCGTATAGCCAAGTCTCATACAAGTCATATCTCAGTCCAGAGCCTGCTTGACAGCACCGAGGTCAAACCGAAAGCCAATTCGTCCAGTCATCTCAAGAATAGCAACTGACGACCCAACAGCTCCCCCTCCTCCATCCGGAGACGTGGGTAGGACAATGGATTGTTGGCTCCTAAAGTGCGGCACAGTTATCACCCCAGGAGTTCGTGCGGCAACTCCCCGTAGACACCGCTCAAACCAGAGCTGCTTACTCTCCACAGAATGCAGGCAAAGCAAATACACACCATCGGTTTGATAGTGCTCGCCAACGCCTCAAATGCAATCCGAAGCCGCACTCTCGGGTATCATCTGGGCGTAAGGCGCCGGGGGATAAGCCCTCGGGGGCATGCCATCCCCGGCAAGCGTCGCCGTCTCAACATCAGCCGCCTCAACATCAGCCGCCTCCGCCTCCAGACCACGGATCGAATCAAGCGCCTGGTTCAGTTTCCGCACCGTAACCTTGCACCGAGTCCGCTTCTCCGCCGTGGCCAGATCCTCGTCCATCAAGCGCAGGTACGCCGCGTGCGCGCCCTCGTCAAGGAGTCCCAGCTTCTGGTCCAAGTGGTAGTCCAGCTGGTTCACGATGTCGGGAAACATGCGGGACGTGATATACAGCGGAACCGTGTCGGCGAACCGCAGGGCCGCGAGGCGGTAGTACCCCCGCACGTACGAAGCGACCCGGACCTCCTTATCGAACGGGTCGGGCCCCATCTTGACCAGCTCGGCCGCGTGCCGCTTCTCCTCGCTCGCGCGCTGCTCGGGCGTCATGCGGTCCCAGTCCTGGAAGTTGGCCCCCGGCGGCGGGTTCTCGCCGTGCTCGCTCCCGCCGCCGTCGCGCTTCGCGCCGATGAAGGAGTCCCACCGCACGACATGCCGGTAGCGAGTCAGCAGGCGGCCCTCCTCCTTTTCGTAGTGCGAAAATGAGTCCCGGTTGATGGTGAACAACTGGAACGTTTCCATGCGGTAGAACTCGTGCAGGAACTGCTCCGTCACCGACGCGCTGTCCTGCAGGAAGCTCTGCATGTACCTCTTGGACTCCTTGAAGATGAGCCGCTTCTTGAGGTTGACGAACGCCTGGTTGAGCGCCTGGTTGATGATGTCGTTCAGCAGTTGGCGCGTCGTCTCGATCAGCGTCTGCAAGGGCCCGTTCCAATGCCGAACCGCCTGCTTGCACAGGTCTTCGTATACCTCGTCGGGCACAAGGTTCGGCATGCCGGCTTTCGTTTTCGCTTGGATGTCCTGGCGAATCTGGCGGATGGTGCGAAACCGGCTGCCGTGTTTGCTGTAGGCCTCAAACGGAGCTGGGGCGGAAGGGGGGCCCCGTCTCCGCACCGGCGTCTGAGGAGTCGTAACATCAGATGCATTGCCCTCTTCCACCTTGACGCCGTAAGACTGGGAACGAGAAAATGACCCATGTGCGCTAGGGCCACCGCCGTTGAAGGCGCTGCCGTTGTTCGCCCGCCCACGTTTGGGCGCCTGAAAGCCGTTGGTCCCAGGGGCCGACCGTTTACGAGGAGGGCCGGTCGGCGTGCTGGCCTCGTCTTCGTCGTCGGAAATCTCAAACACGGGCGTGTCTGTCGGGTCGCGCAAAACGAACTTGGGCTTGGTATGGAGGAGACAGTCGCGGAAGGCCTCGGCCAGCTTGCCGTAGTGAGACGAGAATTCCTTCCCCTTCAGCTTATCCTTGACGACGCTGGTGAATTCTCGGAGGCCCTTTTGAACCTCGAGCTGAACATTTTGCGGGAGTCCGGGCAGTCGATCCAGTTCTTTCTCGTATTTGTTGAGTTCGGAAAGGACCTTCTTCTTGATGGAAGGTAAGCTAAAGCGGAAAAAGGGACGTTAGTGCATTGTTCAGTGTGACGTCCACGTTGGCAGAGGGGGATATCACTCACTTCTTAGCAAATTCCTTGCCCAACTTCTCTGACAAGGCCGTCTTCAGTCGCTCGACGCCGCACCGGTCACGAAACTCCGAGAAGACCGCAGGCCACTTTTCATGGCCGTTCTCACTGAACAAAGCCCCTTCCCAGCGAGCCTGATCCTCGAGGCCCTTGTCTGACATTCGTGACGTAATGAAGTACTCGTGGCCAATTTGGTGCCGCTCTCCTCGAAGGATAGAGAGCCACTGGTGATGACTCTGGTGCCCGTCATTGGGGAGCAGATCGGCTTTGGTCATGACGCCGATGGTACGGGCTTGGGCCTTCAGCTCCCGGATGATGCTCAGAGTCGAGGACGTCTCCGGGTCGGCGTTCATGGGCACGGCCCAGATGATGAGAGCATCTTGGTGGGCAATGTACTCGCGGGCCAAGTTCTCGACGACCTGAACGAGGTACTCATCCTCTTCCCTGGCGGAATTACGGAAGATACCGGGAAGGTCATAGAAGGAAAGGTCGGGCAGGTCGGGGCCCTTGATCTCGAGGGCGACGGTATTGGGGCTGAACTTGGCCTTTGTCTCCTCAGCTTCGCGGGCGAGGTCGTGGGTGCGGGCAATGGTACCGCGGCCGGGGATGTAGTGGTCCGAGTTTTGGTCGTGGTTGAGAATGGCGACCTGGGCCCAGCGGAGGACGTTCTCGATCTCCGACTGGTTGTGGGCATAAATGGTCATGAACTCCTTGACCTCTCGCGGCTGTCTGACCCAGGGGGGAAACGGGGTCTCTGGGGTGACGTCGCTCCTCTCAATGCTTCGGTCCATGGGCGGCTTGAAGGCGTAGTCGAGCTGCAGGGAGACCCTGCAGGACCACTCGTGATGGCGCGAGACGCGGATGTGAATGGGACAACGGGTACAGACGCCCTCGCTGCGCGGCAGGTTGAGACCAGCCAGGCCGGACATGAGACTGGACTTTCCGGCGGATTGATCGCCCACGAGAACCAATTTGGGAAGCGAGACGATGTGGGAAACGCCGATCTGCTGCAGCTCTCCCAGGGTATCGTTGCAGGCTTTCAGCTTGGCGCCGATGTCCCGGAAAGAGCCATCGAAAAAGCTATCGCCTTGGCTCTGGTGAGCCGGATTCTCAAAGGCCATGGCTCGGTTTCTCATTTGCAGAAAAACAGGCTCACTGCCGTCCCGGGTACCAGGGGCCGAAGGGGCCGAAGGGGCCGTGGGAGCAGAAGGGGGTGCTTTGTATGTTGGTGGCGGTGCTAGAGAGTAGAGATGAGGTTAGTACGTATCCAGGGACGGATTGAACAAGTCAGTCCAGAAAAGGGAAGAGGGACAAGGAAAACGAACGGGCGTCAGAGCGGATGAATGAGTCGTTCACCGACGCCGGCTGCCAGTGGCGGGCTGGAGGCAAGCTGTAGGTATCTGACCTATCTGACCGAGGGGCGTGTGTTCGAGTCGCAGATGGAGATATGGCCGATGGTGGAGGAGGGACGGGAGATGGATAGGCTTGAATATCAGAATGAGACCGATGGGATGGGTCGGAAGCCGTCTTGGGTTCCTGTTTAACAGGCAAAGAGGGAGGTGGAAGGGGGGAGGCGGAGGAAGCCATGGTGACGACGGAAAAGAGAAGGAAGGAAAAGGAAGGAGAAGGAAGGAGGTGAGTTGTAAGTGAAGCCTGGCTGAGATTAAAGGTGAGGAAGGTGCAGGAAATATGGCCTGGAGGTTATGACTGGTTCCTAGCAGGCAAGAGCCAGGAGAAGAACCGGGAAAAGTTCACAACGAAGGTCATCTAATGCAACCACAAGTTAAACAACCAACAAAGAGGACCAAATAAGGAATGCCTGGCAGTTGTATATGGGTATAGCACAGAAGAGAAAGGAACCTGGTGTGAAGAGAGTGGAAGACTAGAATAGATCGAGGGAGTGGGAGAGTCGAGGTTATAAGGTGTGTTGAGCGATGGGTGAGGACGAGTTGGAGGGTATGAACCTCATGAGACTCTCCAGTCTTAGATATGGATGGTTAGGAGAGACTTCGAGGAGTCAATCCCATGGGGCTGTACACGACAAGAAAAAGCTATAGAGGACTCCATGAGACTATAAGGTAAACCTCGTCTCATCTACATATCCTCTTAACATGTTTTGTAACGTGTTTCCAGCAGAACTATTTGCATAATGCGAGAACATAAACAAAGGTGATGGTACTTTCTATCACGAATTATTGGGGACAGGAGAAGTTAAGGTGCATCGAGGTTTGGCAGGGGTTAGTGACTTCTGCCAGAGGTCCAGGGGTAACTAATTGAGTGGCTGGCAGGCCTCGAGGCCCGGGCCCGTGTCCAGGTACATAGGTACCACTAAAGTGCACGCCGTGACACTGAAAATGGCGGACGAGTTGTGAATAGGTTGGTACTTAATTGTTGCAAAGTCAAGCCAGTTCCCGCCGTGATCCGACTGGTAGTTCGTACTTTATTTTCTCGAGCTCCTGAACTGCCATCCCTTTCCCTCTTCCTCTATTTCCTCCTCCTTCCTTGGACGCCTCTTGTCACATTATCTGTCGGTCTCTTCCTGTAGTTTCACCAGGATTGGTACCTTCGCCACACTTTTACAGTGTCCTACTTCCTGCTCTGTATCTGTATTAGACGGATAGGAAGAACTGGAAGGCCCGATGTGGTCGTTGTTTCCTTCGAAACTTCGTGGTCCAAAGAGCTTCTTGAGAATGCTCTCTTCTCCTTCGACTCCTCCACCCCACCTCCCCACCTCCCCACTTCCCCACCTTCAGGTACCTGGGCTTAGCGTCTCTTGCAACAAAGATGTACAACCACCTAAGAACGCTCACACTATCCTATCGAGGTACATGATGCGCTGCGCATCCAGCTCCCAAAGCCTAGTCTCAACCTAACAGTTACCTTGTATACAATACTTAGCAGCTCTTCATCTTCATCCCTTGCGAACACTTAGTGTAGTACTCCGCAACGAGACCCATTGGTGCGAGCTGTTCTGTTGCGTTGTCCAAGACAGTTCACCGCGTCGGTCTGCATACCTTAGCGTCCAACCCCTCGTCTCCTCCCTAGGTCAACGGTGACCTGCGTCCGACTCGCATCAAAACACGAAATACTAATCGACCAGGACAAACGGAAAAAAGCAAACGAAAAGAGCCTGATCTCGACTCGTCATTGTCGAGTGCAACAGTCCCATCACCATGTCGCTACAGATTCCCTCCCGTCCGGGGGTCAAGTCCCAAGAGGCTACCACCAAAGCCGTCATCTTGGTATGTGTCTCCTGCTTCCTGTCGTCTCACCATGCAACACGCACACGGGAAATTTCAGCTAACTGTTACCCCACCTCGCTGTTCAGGTCGGCGGCCCTTCCCGCGGCACCCGATTCCGACCGCTGAGTCTCGACGTCCCCAAGCCGCTCTTCGAGGTGGCCGGCCACCCGATCATCTGGCACTGCCTCGCCGCCATCGCCCGCGTCCCCGACAAGAAGATCTCCGAGGTGCTCATCATCGGCTACTACGACGAGTCGGTCTTCCGCGACTTCATCAAGGACTCGACCAAGGAATTCCCGGGGCTGGCCATCAAGTACCTGCGCGAGTACGAGGCCCTCGGCACGGCCGGCGGGCTCTACCACTTCCGCGACGTCATCCTCAAGGGCGGGCCGGACCGGCTCTTCGTGCTCAACGCCGACGTGTGCTGCTCGTTCCCGCTGGCCGAGATGCTGCGGCTCTTCGACGAGAAGGACGCCGAGGCCGTCATCCTGGGCACCCGCGTGTCCGACGACGCCGCCACCAACTTCGGCTGCATCGTCAGCGACGCCCACACGCGCCGCGTGCTGCACTACGTCGAGAAGCCCGAGAGCCGTATTAGTAACTTGATCAACTGCGGCGTCTACCTCTTCTCCACCGACGCCATCTTCCCGTCCATCCGCACCGCCATCAAGCGCCGCAACGACCGGCCCCCGCGCCTCGTCTCGTACCCGTCCTCCGAGAACCTCGAGAGCAGCTTCATGCTATCGGCCGCCGCCGCCGCCGCAGCAGCAGCAGCAGCCGCCGCCGCGGGCGACGGCGACGACGACGACGACCACCGCCGCAACGAGGTGATCCGGCTCGAGCAGGACATCCTCTCCGACATGGCCGACACGAAACACTTCTTCGTGTACGAGACCAAAGACTTTTGGCGCCAGATCAAGACGGCCGGGTCGGCGGTGCCGGCCAACGCGCTGTACCTGCAAAAGGCGTGGCAGCAGGGGTCGTCGGAGCTGGCGCCGCCCAGCGCGGCGGTCCTCCCGCCCGTGTTCATCCACCCGACCGCGACGGTGGACCCGACCGCCAAGCTGGGCCCCAATGTTTCGATCGGCCCTCGCGTCGTGGTGGGGCCCGGGGTGCGGATCAAGGAGTCCGTCGTGCTGGAGGATTGCGAGATCAAGCATGACGCCTGCATTCTCTATTCCATTATCGGCTGGGGGAGCCGTGTGGGCGCGTGGGCGAGGGTTGAGGGTACGCCCATGCCGGCGACGAGCCATAGTACGAGTATCATTAAGAATGGTGTCAAGGTGCAGAGCATCACCATTCTTGGCAAGGACTGCGGTGTGGGCGATGAAGTGCGCGTGCAGAACTGCGTCTGCCTGCCTTATAAGGAGCTTAAGAGGGTATGTTTGTCCCGTCCCTATATCAGGCCGCTGTCGTGACGAACTAACAAGAATCACAGGATGTCGCTAACGAAGTCATCATGTAATGCTCCTTTTCCCACCCTTTCCCTATCACACGAATGCACCCTGAGCAGCAACAAAAGTCCGGTCCATGTATGGGACCCATCCTGGTGGACATTAATGTCTTTGCGTTACTTGGAGGAGGTTGGCTTGGCCAAAAGCGACATGTTCATTTGGTCCTCATCGGCTTGAGGAGGTAGCCATTTTTGACCTGCCATTTTATCTTACCTTACTTAGACCACCAGACCACCAGACAAATATTTACTAGCCTTGGGCTGCGAACAAGGATTCCTAATTTGTCACCTTCAACCACGTCGTCCAGACCACACACACTCTCTCTCTCCCTCTCTCTCTCCATCGTCATCAGACGTAATAAGGTACCTGAGTGAAGTATCCCAGTGTTGAACCAAGCAACTCAGGTAAGGTACCTTATACGTACCCCCCATATTCTTCAGGATGAGTGTATAGGTACCTTAAACTACGTCCTCATTGCCATCGTCTCGCGGCAGGTACGACCAAGACTCCCTGACATGAGGAAGCCACTTGCGTTGAGCCTTCCGTCACTGCCATGATCCAAGTTGTATTGTTCTCTTCCCCAGGGAGGTCCGGGTACTCGGACTCCAAGGCAAGAGACTGCAGATGTCCTCCTCTCCTCCTCCTCCCATCCTCCTCCTCCCCCTCCCCCTCAGATAGAGCACTGGCCTCTTGGCATCTAATCGATATAGCTAAGCTATAGCCACCTTATTTCTGCAGCACCAGGTGATGGTTAAAGCCCCGGAGGCTTCGAAGATGACCACAATGCCTTCGTCACCTCTCAACCAGTTCCGTCCTCCTCGGCCAAGACACCTGCCGGGTAACGCCTCGAGTAATTCTCGCACCCTGCAGTCTGGAGCCATTCATCTACCACCGTCCGAGTCCTCGCCTCAAGGCCCACTGATCCAAAGACGAGTCCAAGGCAAGGGACAAACAATGACCAACCCGTCCTCATCTCCACAGCCTTCCCCGTCGGCAAGCCAGCCCACCACCATAACTCGTCTCAGCCGTTCCCTAACAAAAGACGAACACACCATCCTCCTCCGCCACCGTCTCTCTGTCGCCACAATCCAAGCCCTACTCACCATCCCCCCGGGCGCCACCCCGGACCTCATCCTCCAAAAAGCCAGCCTCGCCACCGAACTCCGCGCGTTCCCCCTCCGACCGGGCGAGAAACCCCTCTTCACAACCCTCAACGCCCACGCCTGGACCCTCTGGCCCCTCGCCGTCTCCCGCCCCTCGCAGACCTGGGAGAAAGCCTTCCTCGTCGCCCAGAGCGAGGCCTCCGCCCGCGACGAATGGCTCTACCTCCCCCGCATCGACCGCGTCGCCCGCGCCCCGCTCCTCGCCGACCGCCGTCACCTCCTGTCGACCCTGTGCCGCGCCCTCCGCTGCGCCGCCGACCTCGCCGCCCTGCGTCGCGACGGGTCCGTCCTCCGCCGGTGCCTCGAGCTGGCGCGCTGCCTCGCCGCGTCCGCGTGGGAGGGCCGTCCCGCGTCCGAACTGCGGCAGGTGCCCGGCATAGGCGCCAAGAAGGCCGAGACGCTCATCTCAGCTGGTGTGGCGTCCGTGCGGCGACTTGCCGAGTTGGAGTTCTACCATATTGAACGGTTGTTGTCGCGGAACCCGCCTTTTGGGCAGGAGACGCTGCTTACCCTGAGGACGTTCCCTGTTATTAAGGTCCGCGCGCGGTTCGAGCGGTGGGCTACCGTGGAGGACGGAGAAGCCCTGCGGGAGTGGGACGCTGCAGCAGGTGGGGAGGAGGATCGTCGAGATGGTGTGGCATCGAGCCGATCCGACAATCGGGACTCGGGGCGGCAGGGCAAAAGGATGGCCATCCTGCGGGCTGAGATCCGGTGCGTCAACGAAGTGGTCCCGACGTGGAAGAAGGACCACGTGCCCTGGGTATGTCTGGCTGTCGAGCGCGGTCCATTGCCGCAGGGCCATCGTGTCGTGGATAGTCGGCGTGGCGGTGGCAGTGGTAACTCGGGAACCGCTCCACCTCCTGCTGTGGGTGATGCCAGAAGAAACGCGGTCACGGGGGAGGGTGAGCTCCTGTTCTTCTGGAGGGGGAGCATCAAACGGCTCATGGGAGGTGTCGGGATGGACTTGGCTTTTGCAGCGGCGCTGCAGCCCCGAGAATCGATCTTCCTTTGGGCGAGCTGTGAGGATATTGTGGGCACTTTGGTCGAGATGGGCATTACGGCGCCGGATGTCTAGAAAGAACGCGACCATCTCATGACTGTCTCCGGCGTTATATATCGCGGATTTGGTCGATGACATGGCTGATAGAAATGGGGCGCATCTGATTCACAACGTCGCGTTCAGCGGGGAGGAAAACGGAAGGCAATGAGGAAGAGACCTGTCCTAGACATCACTTATCGGTCGTGAAAGCTCATGGGAATCCGAAATATCTATTGAAAATATGTAGATTCGAACGCAAATGTCAAAACAAAAAAATCAAATCGCTTGCTATGATGTTGCTCTGAACCCCTGATTGTGTGGACATTGGCCCTACTGACTTTTGTCATCGTCTTTCCCCTCTCTGGTTTGCCTTGCTTCGGCTTGCATCTAATATATAGCCTTGTCAGCATGAACACCACAATAGAATCCAAGATGAATAGTGCAAGAAAGGACGAAAATCAGGAAAAAATTAGAGTTAACAAATGGCCATCAGCGGCTTGGCCTATGGATTGAAATTGCTCATCATGTCGAAGGAAGAGAAGACGGGGAGAAGAGGAATCGCACATACCTGCAATGTGGGCTGCATGGCCATACTCTCTTCCAAGCTTGGCCGGATCTCTGTTCATAACCACGTAGGGGTCTGTATATGTGTATGTATGCATGGATGGGTCGTCATGGCGCGACTTTCTCGAGGCCGTTTAGAGGGTGCCGAAGGTCCAGACCTCCAGACCCCCATCTCACGCAAATGAATCATCAAATTCCATGGCGTCTTCTACCGAGGCGTATGCGCATATGTGCGTGTCGCCGTCCTGTTTGAGGACTCTGGCTTTTGTTTCATCCGTTGCAGTCGGAGAAAAAAAAAAGGAGATTGATGAATATCATGGGCACGCTTATTTCCGCTTTCGCAGTTTCAATCCTCCCGCTTACCCCTCGCCGACGGTGCGCGAGTGTGCTGCGGCATGGGTGAGGCGGGTCTCGACGTCGACAGGGCCATGGAGCCAGGCCGCACGGCGTCGAGGGGATCCAGCATCATCCTGGGCTCGATGGCCGTGCGCGGCGTGTAGGCCGGGTCGATGGCGGGTTTTTCGTAGGCGGCGATGCGGAGAGGCGCGGGGCGGCTCTTGCGGTCGGGGAGGCTGTAGAGGTAGGTAGCGCCCATGACGAGGGAGGTGCCGAGGACGAACTACATTTGCCGGCCCATGTTAGTTGACTTCACTTGTGGTGCCGGCGTCCCGGGGGAAAAAAGGCGGGGAAAGGAGAAAACGCAAGCTTACCATCATGTTGAATTCAAAGTCAAAGAACAACACGCTGAAAACAAAACTGACAATGATGCTAATGCTGGCGGCAAAGTTTTTGGCAATGTTGTCGGAGTAGTTGATGCACAGGCTGGAAACAACACCGCCGAGAGCCTGCAGAATAACAGCGGCCCAGACAGTCATGTTGTACCCGTCGAAGAAGCCCCGGCGGGCGATCTCGGCGCCGTCCTGGAAGAAAATGCCAATGACGACGGCGGGGAGGAGGGAGTAGACGGACAACTGGACATTGCGGGTCCAGATAGAGGCCGGGGCGGTAGAGGGGGACGCGGCGGTGGGTTCTTTGATTAGTTTCTCAAAGTAGACGCCAGCGAGCCCGGAGCTGGCGGCCGAGACAACGGCGGCGATGAGGCCGACGCTGTAGTTCGTGGCGGCGAGCGAGGGGAACTCGTCCTCCTCGATGCCCTGGTAGGAGGCGGAGCGCTTGCCGAGGACGCGGTCGAGGGTCTCGGTGGCGACGTGGCCCAGCTCGTGAACGGAGCGGGGGAAGAAGTGGTCGCTGCTGTGGGGGAGGAGGATGTTGCTGTAGTAGGATTCGCGGGAGTCGGATTGGGGGAGGGATACCACGGACACGCCCAGGGTGAGGATGAAGAGGGCGAGCCAGCGCTTGGGGCCGAGGGTGCGGCGGAGGATGATAACGGAGAAGAGGGCGGCGGCCAGGATCTACGAGTGGAGGGATGTGATGTTAGCAGGAAACATGGGCGGCGTGAGGGAGTCTGTGCATGGGGTGCCATACCTTGAACTGGGACAAGACCTGGAAATGGACGGCGTCCAAGTTGCCGATCGCGACGTATTGAAGGGTGTTCTGAATGGTGTACAGGACGGCGGGCACGGCCAGTTGCCAGCCATCGCCGGAGAAGACGGCGTTGTATATTTGCTGAAAGAGGACGGATATGGGTGTGGAGGGTGCGAGGGTGCGGGAAGTCTCGGCGATGGAGCAGCAGAGACAGATGGCGAGCTTGATAACCTCGCTCAGAAAGACGGCGGTAGAAGTGAGATACCTACGCTCACCTGGAGCGGGCATGACACGAGAGTAGTGCATGACCTGTTAGGGGGGAAACGCTCTGGAATTAGCAAAGTCCAAGGGGATTGAGATGTGTCGATCTTTCAAGTCGGCACGTACGAGGATGAGGGCCGAGTTTTGCCAAATCAGCTACAAAGACACACGTTAGTCGGGTCTCAGCTATGAGCTTGGTCTCAGCGAAAGTTGGGAGTTTGACATACCGTGATGAGGGAGACTTGTTTGGCCGGCATGCCGAAGATGGTTGGACCGCGAGGTGTGCGCGGTGGCACATGTAGGATGGTCATGATGGGGTTTTCAAGTGAAAAGGAGTGTGTGGTATAGCAGGTTCCCAAGTTTGGAGAGAGAGGGGGGAGCTGGGTAGAGTAGGTGCAAAGGAACCAGCTGTGGTCGAGAGAGGACGAGAGAATGCAGTCAATGCAGTGTCGTGTGACCTAGGATCTCGAGTTGGACATGGAGAGTACGAGGAAGGAGAGCGGCAGCATGAGATTCGGAAAGAAAACCGAGTATTAATCTTCGTACAACCCGAAGGAGAACCGTCCGCGGCCCGTCGCATAAACAAAGCGAGGATTCGGGGTCGTTTGATTTTTTTTTTGTTCTCTTCCTGTCTGGTTTGTTTTCCCTTCCCGTCGACCGTCTCGAGGAAAAAAGGGGAAAATTCAGGGTCGAACAGAGAGACACGTCAGGCGCGAGGAGCTATAAATTTTCTCCTTGCGTCGGTGCGACCCGCCGACCCCTCAATAGACGAACAGAATATACACTTGTCGCTTGCGTAAAACGAGTGAAGTGGAATTGGTCAAAAATGGGTTGTTGTTTGGCTTGGTTGGAAAAGAAACGGGGGAGGAAAAATGAAAATGGAAAGAAAAAAGACGTTGAAAATTTCGAAAAGGACAAAACGTGGACAAGGCGATGGCGGTGAGATGCGTGCGTGTGTGACTTAAGCTACCTTACCTTAGGTAATTGAGCGAGGAAGGAAAGACGCGACTGGGTGGTACCAAAAGTCTCAGGTAGCGGTGCCGAGAGCCGTGGAGGGCAAGCGGGAACTTCAATCTCCGAGTTCCGATGTCACCTTTGGTCGAGAACGTGTTCATACATGTAAGTACCTTACGTATACTATAAGGTACCAAGCGTAATGGTGACGGTAATACCTGAGATAGAAGCCAAATGGCTGTAAAACATCTTTATGACTTGCAGTCGAATTAAGGTAGTCGAGGAAATGAATTGGGATCGAACTGAGAGAGCTCTTGGCGGTTGGTGATGCAGGTACCGTACCGTACGAAGTACAAAGTGACAATTACTCACGTCGGTGACTGGCAACTTGCGTGGAAACCAACAGAGGTACGTTGTATCCGGTGCTTTCTTGATTGAACATGACCAGTACATACCTACCTTACATAAAAACACGTGAAGACGCACTATACTTCTTACGTGGCCGGCCCGTGGCGCATGTGCGGCTCCAAACGTCCCCAAGGCGAAGAAAGCGAGGGAAGGCCTAGGTATCGACATTATTATGAGTCCCTCCTCATACCCATGATGTTGCTCGAGTCGAGGTGCCCTTCTTTCCCGGTGATAACTGGGCTGGCTTGTTCTCATACAATGTACAGCCTCCTCCGCAAACTACACCTGAGGCGGTGAATAACAAAGTGAGGAGCCTCTAGACTACCGACTACCGGCTGCCGATTGCAGTGCCGTGCCCTGTCGGAAGGAACGAGAGAGGGCCGGCGGCCTGGGACGGAGCACAGGGGGGCGTAATTTGGTAGATTGGCCGGCCCTGCGGTTATGGAGGTCCAGGTCCGGATCCGGCTGGACGGCCCTGACTGGGACTGAATGACAGCTCGCTCAGTTCTATCGCTGGAGTGTCTGTAGCATAGTGGCATCTCATGGCGTTCTATTTTGGGGGATCCCCGCTGCATTTTCATGCATCTTCCGGGTGATATGTAGGTGGTATTCAGGTCGTTATGGGGTTTTGCCCCGGTGTCCCACAATTCCATCACTCTTCCAACTTCGACTGTTGTCGCGTCATGGCCTTGGCGGCACTCGTTCGTCACTCATCGCAGACCTGAGACGACGGGGCACGTGAGACTGGCAGATATCATGGAATCCGTCTATGACGACTGCGTGAAGATGGTGGTACTCGGGACGGAAACGCCATGCAGGTCGGCATGCAGCCTCATTCTCTTCTCCCACAGCGTTCCGAGAGCTCACGGAGTACTGAGCAGAAGCAGATAAAGCGAACGAAACGAAAAAAAAAAAAGAAAGAAGAAGAAAAAAAAAAGGTACATTGAACCGACTGTTGTGATCTGGTAGCGAGGGAAACGTGGGAACGAAATACCTAACGGTGTGCCCAGAAGCCACAGACGCAAGCTACGAGGCGACCAAGAATTCACTCAGCTGGACATAACCGAATTATGCACCGGTATGCCTCATTATATGATCGCCGTCCCTCGCTTACAAACAATTGCTTTCCCGTGGTCATCGAGGCCCCAGCCCGCTGAATCTTTAATAGTTACGTGGTACATATAATTAGGCGTGTTCATGTACGGGAAAACGATATCGTGGGGGCTTGTACGCACAGATCCATCCTCCCTCGGGGTCTTGCATCTTTCAAGGTTTGGCGCAGTTGCTTCGATGAACGATGGCGATGGGACACGGGCGTGTGGATTTACTCAGTAGAAGACAGGGCGAATGTCAGTGGAATGTGGAATCAATGTGAATAAATTGGCGCTTGCCGGTTCCTGGTCGTGTCGCTACAACGTACACGTACACGGACCTTGCCGTTAGATCTCGACGTTTGGCCAATGAGGCTGGGCCCGATCTAAGCCCGGTCATCACTAGGGTTGACCGGCGTGGTTCTCTCTCAGCTAGTATAAAACCGACAACGTGTGTACATAGAGTCGCTGATTCTGGTTATGGCTCTTTGACCCCCTTATGCTATGCAACGCTCGACGAGGTATGAGGTTGTTCGTCTTGGGTAAGGCGGCGTAGACTTGGTGATGTCCGTGACCGTGACCGTGACCGTGACCGTGACCATGACCCTGCCGTTTTCAGACGAGCAAGGCGGCTCAGAGGCACAAACGGAAGGTTGGTCATGCCTAATTCGTGCCGAGTTGTCGGCTTCCAACGAAAAGGGGCGAAAGGGGAAAATACAGAGGGGAAAAAGTCGTTTGTCAGTTCTTGCGGGAAACGGCAGCAGGTGGAGGGCCCTATCGAGTCGAGGCATGGCCACCCGCTAAATGGGTAGTTATTATTAGTGAAATTGCCAGCAAAAAAAGGGGTGTGCCTATCGTGAGTTCGATCTGGCATCACCTAATGGTACCTAGCCAATTGGCGCACCTCGGGCTCTTTGGCTCCCTACAACTTGCAGTTGAGATGTTGGACCAAGTCAGCCTCCATGGCAGCTCCTACGCAGTGGGTTGGTTGTAAATGAACAGGGCTGGGATGAGAGCCATGCTACTGAACTAACTGATTGATAACATTGTGGGATGTGCGTTCATGATGTGTCGGCGTAAGTTAAATTTACGGAATACACGTACAAAGTGCAACACATGTTCGTCCTGAATATGTACAACGTACACGGATCGAAACCCGAGACCACCAATCTGCGGAAAATGCAACACTCCGCGATGATGTCTTGCATTTGGAGCGGTCCCCTGGCTAACTCGCAGCCTCCCATGTCCCATGCCAATCAACCAACTTCCAATACCAGGCCCTGGTCACGCTATGAGAACTAGCGATGAGACTGGTGTTGATCATACAATGTATGTATGTGACATTGTAGCGATGACCACGGACTAACTCAAGGACAAAAGACCATGGGCCATGGTCTATGGTTATGGTTATTAGGTTGGTAGTCGTTTCGCAATGCTCTGTACGGAAATACCCTAATCTCGAAGGGGGCTTTTTATTTACTTTTTCTCTTCTTTTTGAAGCCCGCACTTTCTTTCCACTTTGTACTCTATCATATCTCCCAGTTATTACCTAAGGTAAGGCACCTCGTGGATGCTCAGGGGAGCTGTGGGGCGGTCAGCCTAAGCACGAAGTAATTACAACGTACATGTCATTTTCCCGATGCCGAGACGCGTAAGAAGTCACGAAGCACAAGGCGGGAGTGATGACGAGACTCGGTACACCGGCCTCGGTACATGAGGTAGGTCACACACCTGAGACAACCAACTGAATATTATCCTTTTTTTTCTTTCTCCTTCTTCTCTTGCTTTTTTCCTTTCTTTTTCTTCACCGGGAGAGACACAGAGATTGGCCGCTGCAGGACGACGACAGTTCGGCAGGTTTTCGTCCCTATCGTCTTGGGGTTCCCGTTCGGTTTCGGACATGGACAGGACTGCCGAGAAGCCCGGCGGCACCTGCTGCACCTGCATACAACGTGTCGAATTGCACCGCATTTCCTTGCCTCTCACCCTTCATCTTCGCCGGCCCTCCCTCCGTTGTCCACTGTCCGATGTCCGATATCCACACTTCTCTTCTTCCCGTCTCTGGCGACAATATCGATGGGTCACTGTACGTTGTACACGTGTATTCTAATATTCTAACCCAAATCAGGCCCACACTATTATTTGCATAAGACGGCCCTGAGTCGTCTTGTCCCCCCTTACTCCACCTTTCCCACTTCTCCCCTGGACTTGACCAGGGGTTTCGCTGCTGAGTTCCTTGGAGCGTTCAGGTGTTCAGGGATGTGCCCGGGCAGATCCACAAGGTCCAGCTGAATTGAGAAAAGACCGGTCGATGTCACGGGGTCTGTCACTTTGGCCTCTCTCTCCTTTTCTCCCCACAACCCTGTTTACACCCCCTTTGGTCTGCCACTGCCCCCTTTCCTCTCCTCTCTCTGCAAACGTGCAAATGCAGACTAGACAGGGTTTCTCGCTTTCTCAAGCCGCTAGTGCACATCGTACTCCGTCCGCGTAGTGTACATTGTACTGACATGGCCTAGGTGCTCCGTGCTCCGTACAAAAAGAACCAGGCGGGGCCCATGGCAGAGAACGGCGAACCGGCGGATACATACAAGAGGAAAAGATGCGATGAAGGGGACCCCGGACATGCCATATCATATGCCAATGTATGGTTCAGGTTAACCCATCCCGAGCCCGAGAGCCATTGTACATACGATCGAACGGAACAGGTACGGGCATGGTGCGAGAGACCAGTTCGGCTGTGGATTCCCAACATTTACACCGATTCCCAATTTGCCCATCTCTTCGCTTTCTTCTTGTCCCTCCCCCACCCACGCCTCTCGATCAAATTGCCTACGAAGCACGAAGGATTGCTGCGGGAGCGAAATCCTGCCACGCGCATGCGACCCTAAAATCTAATCTGCCGTCGTCTCTTTTCTTATTCTTCCTTCGCCACATGGGAAAGCAGATTCACGACAAACACGACCGGGGATTTGGAATGGTTGGCGCCTCGCTTGCAACTGGAAGCTCGACAATCGATAATCGACACTCGACACAGCTGATTTTCTGACCATTACGGATTCTTAAGACGAACACATTGAATAAACGGGTTTGCAAGAAAAAAAAGAAGAAAAAAAAGAAACATTGGTTAGGACCTTTATTGATGGATGGAGGACGACCAGTCGGCATATTCTCCTAGGATTTTGGACGGATTGGTGACCCACGGCGTTTTCTGGCAAGCAAGTTCAAGGTATGTTCTATGCCGAAGAATTCTTAGAAAGGAGGCAACACGTCGTGGCCCCAGGCCTGGCTTTGGAGCTTTTCAATTGTTCCTATCTTGTGCTATTAAAATGAAGTTGACCGAGGCTGACGACTGGCTTTCCCTGCCCAGGTGAGCCAGGTCAATAGGACATAGGGGGAAGACGCCCAGGCCAAATATTTTCCGCGGCCCGACCACCAAAAAAGAAAAAGGGAAAAAAAGAAAAGAAAACCACACCACCATGGGCCGGACGTCCAAGTTCACCTTCCCGGTGCCTGGGAAGAAGCCGAAGAACAACCTGCCGCCCATCATCTCACCTCCCATGTCGAAGGTCCAAAAAATCCTGGGCAACGCCGAAATCAATATTGAGTCGCCACGGTCATGGGACACCTTGTCCGCCTCCGGCATCAGCGTGTCTGTGTCAGATCACGGCAGCACTGCGAGTAGTCACCACGGCGGACAAGACAGGCATTTTTCAGGCAACGGCAACGGCAACAGGAACGGCAACGCATATGACAACGCCAATGGTGCCTCGACGTGGGAGGTAGAATCCGAGACCGTCCCAATGCACCTCCATCCCTCCACCGCCGCCGCTGCCACCAACACCAGACACTCGAGAATGGTGTTTCCCGGTGAAGGGGGTTCAATGCACGATGCCATGTCCGACACGTCCAGCGTATCCCGCGCACGGTCCAATTCGACCCTCAAGTCGTGGTACGACAAGTCCAGGGTGCCGCTTTCCGTCTCGCAGCAGACGTCCTCATCCGCCATTGCCAAGGGTGTACCGGCCAAGGCGAGCCAGCTGTTGGACGTGGACGGTACCGGCTTCAATGCCCCGCGTCCTTCCAACCCGGCGAACACGACCACTACCACATCGAACAAGAAGACAAAACGCCCTTCGAGGTTGGACTTTGCCAGCTTCATATCAAGCCACCTTCACCATCGCGATTCCCTCGCCGACGACCGTTCTGCCCAACCGTCACCGTCACCGTCACCGTCCCCGAACCAAGTCTCTTCCCCCAATAGTCTGCCATCACCCGATCATCGGAGGTCACTGAGGAGGTTGGTCCGGAAGCCGACTCGGGAACGGCTCGCCGAGCTTCCCGGAGATGATCAGAACTATGACTACCGGGACTCTCAGAATCGACCCAGGACGGGCGCCACTCAGATGCACGGCATCCTCAACGCAACCGCCCACAGCGCCAACTCGCCGCAAGACCTGTACAATCATTACGAAGAGGCTGCGTTCCGTCAAGTGGCCGAGCTTCCCGCGTACGATGCTCCGCCGACAATACGAGAAGAAGACGACGACAGCGCATGGACGACCCACGACACCTCGCTTGCTCGTGCACATGTGCACGCAAAGTCGCCGACCGACTCCTCCGGGTCCAGACCACTACGATCACCCTCACATCCTAACCGTGACATCCACCGGTTTCCCACCACCCACGGCACAAACAATACCCATGCGAACCCCGTCATCCGCGAGCCGCAGCCAAAGCACCAGGCGCAGACGCAGACGCAGACGCAGACCCAGCCGCACCACGATGATCGACGCGACTCAAAAATCTCATACCCTGGAACTTCCACCCAGTCCGCCTCCGCCGCCGGTTCCATCCTCTCCCGGTCCCGCCAGCACAAGGGCAACGGGGCTTGGGACAATGACTATGCCTCCAGCCTGACCAGCGTGTCGAGCCGCCACACCAAGACGTCCCGGGCCTCCAAACACACCAGCCAGAGCCTCCCCGACTCGGAACGCCAGGAACGCAGCGTGCTGTCGCTCTCGTCCGACTCGGAGGGCGACGAAGAGGTGGAGGTGGAGCCGGACAGCCCGGCCGAGACGGCGTCCAAGTTAGCGCGGTCTATTTCGAGCATTGGCCAGTCGTCCAGGGATTTGTCCGGAGGTGATAAAAAATCGAAGCGGGCGAGTTTTGCGACGACCAATACGTATCTCACCATTCCGAGTAACAATAACACTACCATTACCAGTAACAACGGCAACCCCAACGCCAACAGTCCATCGCCACCGAGGACAACACCGACGACGACTACCAAGCCCACCGCATATCATAACGGGCGTCGTCAAACCTACTCGCCTCCCCGACCCGGCCCGCGGTCTTCATCGCGCATGTCCGCAGCAGCATCGACAATCATCAAATCGACCGCCACCACGCCACCAGAAGCCGACGCACAAGAACCCCTCAGCCCAACCTCGATGCATTTCTACTACGTCCGCTCAGAACCAGTAGTCACCTCGGAATCCAACGAAGGCGCCTCGTCATCGTCGTCGTCAATACGCGACAGCAACCCGCGTTTCATGGCCGTGACGCGGCAGGAACAGATGCTCCTAGCCGCCCTACGCACCAAGCGCGCCATGATGCGGGAGAATAACAACAGCCCCCCTGACGCCGTGGCCGAACTAGAGGGTCCCCTCCCCGAAGGGACGGCGTATGGACATAGCCACACGTCTTCGCAGGCCACGATCCGCGGTCCTGCGGCGGGGGATGAGAAGCCGTTTCTGCATCAGTCGCAGGCTCGCCCGCTCCGGCATCAGGGGTCGGGCACTTCGACAGGGACGGTCAAGTTCGAGCCGCGAACTTCCACGACGGCGACACCGACACCGACACCGCCACCGTCGTCATCAACGGTAACAAAACCGAAAAAGCGCGACTCTGCCCGGTCGTCCTCCCGTCTTTCGAACCGTTCAGCGGAGACCATATCACCAAAAACCAAGCCGGCATCGACGCGACCAAGCCCCGGGCTAGGCGACTTCGGCTTCGACCACGTCGACGAAGAAGACGAAGCCGACGACAGCGACGGCTTCTCCCACAAACGCCGCGACAGAGTCGCCATGGCAACGCAGACGACCGACAACCCGCGCCAGGGGAAAACGGGACCGACCACCCAGGAAACACGCCGCGGGTCATCCTCGTCCGGCAAGCCCAGGACGTCGCTCCCGCCACCTGGACCTCCGCCGGCGGTCCTCCCGGACCCGCCTCCCAGGGCGGCGCCTCGCGAGAAGAGGGTCGTGGCCCGCGAATCGAGAACGAGAAAGGGACATGGCGTTCCGAGGCCGGATTCGCCTATTTCGGCTGCCGCGTGGCCTGTCCCGCCGGTTTCCACTCCTGCTTGTCGGGCTGTGTCGGTGGGGGGGAGACTGACCCCTGCGGATACGGCGCGGAGGAAGGCTGTGCGGTTGAGTGCGGTTGGGGGGCCTGGGCCTGAAGTTGGGTGGTGGGGGGATGATGGTTGAGGGACATATTCCCTTTTCTTACTTTTTTCTTTTTTCTTTTTTCCGCCCCTTATTTTTTTTAATCGGGTCTCCACGCTGAATTGACATGTGGTGACTGGGGTTCCTCGTGGGCGACGCAAAGGACGGAACGTATTGTTTGATTATTTTTTATATTTCCTTTGTTATTCTGCAATGTTTTCAACCATTACACCCATCTTATCATGGCCTGCATAACCAGCCAGGGGGGGGCCAACGAGCTTGACGCCACGGGTGCTGCAATATCGCACCCTATTTCTTTGCATGACACTGTACTCTTTCTATACTACTCTTGTGATTATCTAGTGTATTAATACCGCCACAGACATGAAGGGGAGGGACACTATGGATGGGGATAGGATAGGGGTGGGGGGGAAGAGGTACGGGATATATGGACGCAATAACAAAGGAAGAATTCACCTACATTATAGACAAACGAATGTATGGACGGTCACCGGCCTACTTGCAACACAAACATGTTAAAGTGATGTGCAAATAGAGATCTCTCGTTGAAACGAGGTAATGGGGGTTGTACCGAGTAAGTAATGTACAGAATCTGTTGATACAATCACTATTTCTGTTCCTTCGCCCTCAACCTTCGTTGACCGCCTCATTTTGACAGCCTGGCTTGGGATTATATGTCCCATAGCTTGTAAAGCCATATAAACTTTCGGATATTGCCCCTTCTTTGGGTGAGTTCTTATTTGTCCTCGGCCGCCTTGTCAAAGCTCTCCAAAACAGTCTCCTTCAAGTGTTCGGCCTCACCGCTCCCATCCTCCTTCTCAGCGATGGCGGCATTCGCACCCTCGCCATCCCGGTGCTGTCCCTGAACGATCCTCTTAGCCGCAGCCCTGGCCTGCGCCTCGCTGACCTTGCCAAAGACGCCAAGGCCAGTAGCAATCATGCCGCCAATATCGCCCACATTGCCAGGCACCACGACAGCCGTGCTCTCCTTCGCAAGGTTAGAGAAAGCATCGACATACTTCTCCGCCACGGAAAGGCTCACGGCGCTCTGCGCAGCGTCCTCCCCGGCGGCAATGCTGCGAGCGACGGCATCGATGCCGGAGGCGGTAGCGCGGGCGCGTAGGAGGATGGCCTCGGCCTCGCCGGCGGCGCGGTTGATCTTCTCGGCCTTGAGGGCCTCGGAGGCCAGGATCACGCTCTGCTTCCTGCCCTCGGCGATGTTGATGGCCGACTGGCGCTGGCCCTCGGAGTCGAGGATCTCGGCGCGCTTGGACCGCTCGGCGGTGACTTGGCGGTGCATGGCCTCGACGACGCCGGCGGGGGCGTGGATGTCGCGGATCTCGTAGCGCAGGCAGGTCACGCCCCAGGCTTGGGCGGCTTCGTTGATGGCGGCGGTGATGTTGGTGTTGAGGGCGGCGCGCTCCTTGAGGACGTGGTCGAGGGACAGTTGGCCGATTTCGGAGCGCATGGTTGTCTGGGCGAGTTGGGAGATGGCGTATTCGGCGTCTTCGACTCCGTAGCTGGGAAGGGGGGGAGGAAGAGAAGTGTCAGCAACAACGGTCGATTGTGTTTCTCGTCATTTGAGCCCAGGAGAGGCTTGGCAGTCAGGGAAAAAAAGGAAAGAAGAAAAAAAAATATGCACAACACACGAACCTCGCCTTGTAAGCATCAAACACGCGGGTATAAAGCACACCATCGAGCTCGAGAGTGACATTGTCGGCGGTAATGGCGCTCTGGCTCGGGATCTCAATGGCCGCCTCCTTGAGCGACTTGACGTAGGCAATACGGTCCAGGAACGGCACGAGGATGGCGAGGCCCGGCTCCAGGATGCGGTTGAACTTGCCCATGCGCTCGACGATCCATGCCGTTTGTTGCGGGACGAAGCGGACGACGGTGTTGGCGGGGAGGGAGGGCTTCTGGAAGTAGGACGGCAGGACCGAGGACGAGCCGCTGCCGAAGCCGGTGGCGAGGAGGCCTCTTGATGTGGTTTGGAAGTTGCGTGACTGGAGGAGACCGAAGCTGCGCCGGAGCAGCGGCGGGGGGAAGGCCGCCTTGGTGATCGCCGAGGTCATCCTTGCTGCATTGGCCGAGGTGACCGGGGCTATGATAGAGATTGGAGAAGGTTGTAGACCGGGGGGAGGCGAGAGGGGGTTGGTTAGGCCCGGTAGCTCTGCTGTGGACGAGAAGCTATGGAGTAGAAGAAGCTCCCAGCAGCTCGATTCAGTGCTTGTGCTGAGAAAGAAAATCGAATGACGCACGTGTCGTCCAAAGGTACGAGGTACGTATCCGTGTAATGTAAGGTACCTTACACGTGTACCTGCCTGCCCTCGGTCCGTGGGTCCCGACTTTTATCCGTTCTCGCGGATGTACCTGGGTACTTACGTATGAACTCCGAGGCCGCCTCGTATCCAGGAGCCGACTGACTCCAGCGCCCCATTCGTCTCTGTACACGTATAGAGTCCTAGGTGCGGTGTAAAATGTGACATCTCGGGACGCCGGACCAGGAAAAGCTGGATGTTCTCCGGTGATGTGGCCAGGCATGGGGACAATGAAGTCACGACAGTCACATACAACACTCGGCGCTGCACCAAAAGAACGGACACCATGCGTAACATTGTTTCATGACCCCGAGATGATAGAAGAAGAAGAAGAAGAAGAAGAAAAGACAGGAGACGGAGATCAAAAAGAATACGCTAACAGACCAAATCCCATCCCTACCGTGTCCATTGTCTTTCCTCGCATGCCCCCCACGGGGCAATAGATGTCACACCCACCACTTCCCACTTCTAGTACTCCACGGCCCAGGCTCGGGAAGCATCATCAGACCTGACACCGAACCGGCCAATACGACCTGGCCTACACGTTCTCGTATACGCTGCCCTCGGGCGGCTGGGGAATCTTCTTGTTCGAGGGGGCAGCCATGTACCGCCTCAGCTCTATGAGGGCCGTCTCCATGGTGTAGTCCCGCTTCCACTGCGCCAGGCACGGGAGCTGCTTCGGGTCCACCTTGCCGTTGGTGGGGTTGACGCAGGGCAGGTTGACCTGGCTGACGAACTGGATGGCGGGGGGCTTGTCGGGGTATTCGGGGCCGCAGTGCATCTTGACCGAGTAGATGCGGTTCTCGTGAACACTCTACAGGAAAGAGATTTCAATGTCAGGTCAGCTAACGGTTGTGTTGGGAGCGGATGGGACCAAAGGGATTAGAGCAGTACGTGAGGAGGTCCGAGAATGGTACCGTTCCAGTCGGACATGAGAAGATCTTCGGCATCGTTCAACCCATACGAGCACGCCTCTGTATAGACGCAGAATGTGTTAGGATCATGACGTCTTCCTTTCCATGGGGGATCAAAGAGGGCTTTGCGGTTACCTGCTCCAAGACCCTTTTCACCCTTCTCGAGCTCCTCAAGGAGCCGGAAATTCCGCGGTACCTTGGCGCCCATGATGTCGTTTTCGGTATATTCGTAATTTTGGTATACTATTTTCGCGTATCTGGCCAAAAAGAAGCGAGTGTGATTTGAAGTATGATGGTCGGTGAGGATATTATAGAGTGTTGTCGAAGAAGAAATGGAAGATATGGAGGTTCACTTCTTGGGTGTGGTGGTTGGAGGGGCAGACAGAGAGACAATAGATAAAGTGATATTGAAGACTGTGGCTAAGCTGATAGTTGGTATGGGGGGGTGGCTAGGAAAAGTAAAGCTGAGGGTTGCTATGGGTCTACTTTCCGATTAGTCACCCTAACGTCTTTACGAGTCGTCTCTCTTCCTAATACGCTTTTAATTAATTGGTCGAACTATTTCGCGATCGCGTTAAATTATTTACCTTATCATAAGGAGTATTTCTATTAAGGGTTATTATCATAAAGAGTGCTTTTCTATTATTACTAAAAGGAACTTTTATATTATTACGAAGAGTGTTTTTCTCCCCCCTATTATAAGGGTGGTTATCTAAGATATTTAGTTATATAACCTTAATAAATAGCCCCACAGCAACCCTTAGCTTAACTCTTCGCCTCACTCGGACCCACACCTACCCTTAGCTTAGCTACGGTCTTTAATATCAGGTTATCTATAGTCTCTAGACAGAGGGCGAAGGGCAGAAGGTGTCGAATAGACTATAGTCCTTTCGGTTAGGCCCTGTTCGCGAAAGCTTATAAGATAGGAGTTTTTTTAGGAGGTTTTTATAAAAGTTATAAACAGAGCTAAGGCGCTATCTTAACACTAGTCCGTGCCCTCGATATATCTTTTTATATAGAAATAAGGGAGGTATATCGGGGAAATATTAAGCCGATCCGTGATACTAGGTCAAGTCTTTCGTATATAAAAGACACTACTTTTTTATTAGTAGAAAGTATCGTGGTAACTACCACGTATATCGATATAGCGGCCCTGGGTTTTATTAGTATAGAGGATATTATAGAAGGGTCATTTTATAACACACCGGATCCGTGCTATAGGATATCGATATATCGCCCTTATTATTAGGAATAGCTTTAACATTAGGAATAGCTTTAATATTAGCCTTACTAGCCACGGCACGGCTAACTACAGAGCCTATCTTATAAGTTTTCTTATTATTACTACCTTTTAGATACTTATAAGAAATTACGTGTAAATCCTCTTATCTTATAAGTTTTCCTTTTACCGTGATGTCAGGTGTCTACAGCAGTGGTCATAATAGGCCCCCAGTATAAACCTATAGGAATCCAGGTATACCTAGTCTAAGACCCCTTAAGGCACAAACAAAGCAAGTCATCACACAGCAAACAGGATAGTCCCTTAAAGTAAATAAGGTAGCCCTCGAGGAAGCAAATAAGTAGTCCTTGGAGAGCAGAGCGTAGCCTTAAAGAGCGAGGGAGCCTCCCCTTTAAAAAGGGAGGCCAGCGATTAATCTGACTCTTTAGCTACCCCTACACTTCCCCTATTATAATCCTATCGTGATTATACCTAGTTCCTTACTTAACCCTACCTTTTTACTCTTTACGACTACCTATTTAATATTTTAATCGCTCTGCCCTTAAGGGCGCGAAGACCGTTAAGGAGAGTTACTAAGATATCTAACTATCACGAAATAAACGATCCTACCTTCGATTTTGACCAGGCTATTAGCTAGTTTAAGAGATAGCTCCGCGATAGCGAGACCGCCTTTATAGAAAATACCCATGACTACACGGACAGGGAATATAACGGGGATACGCCGGGAACTAACATAGCTCCTGTTTCTACTACTACCTCTACCCCTACACCCGTCCCTATTCCTGCACCTACTACTGCTTTTATCCTTATCGCTAGCACTACCTCTACTACTAATACTACCCCCGCCCCTCCTATAACCACGACGGGATAGACGTATAACCCTAATATGCCCCTACACGTAGACGTTAACCTAGCTATACTAACGGAGGAATAACTAGATAAACGCGTTAAATGGATAGAGGTATAGAACCACCGTAAGCGTAAGCTCGCGTACCTTACTAAGCTAGAGGCGGATACTACCGCCGCTACCGCTACCGCCGCTACCGCTACCGCCGCTACCGCTACCACCGCTATTAATCCCACTACTAATCCTAGCCCGGCCGATATTACCCACCGCCGTATAGCCGAACCTCGGCGTCGTATTATCGCGATCCCGCCGGGATCCTAGTATATTCACGATATATCTATAATATTATCTATACACGGATCCGCTATATAGGCTAAGTTTAATTTTCCCCTTCTAAAATAGGATAGCGTATCCTAGGCTAAGTATCGCACGTTTATTTAGGAAATAAATCAATAGTTTAACCTAGATTCTTAGTCTTTTCCCACGGACGCTACGAAGAAATACTTTATTATATCGTGCCTCCCCTATTACCTAAAGGAGCGCTAGTAGGCTAAACTACGATATAAATATAATAGCGATTCTAATAGCGTTAGCTAGGCCGCCCTATAAGCCTAGTTATTCTATTAAGTCGACGATAATAACACCCGCCTATAAGAGGTGGCAGTATAGATCTAGAGCGAGTCTATCTTATCTTAGAGAGAGGGCAAGTCTTACGCTAAGTTTATATAGCGGTGGGAAGCCCTAGAGTCGGAACTACCGGGTAAACTCCTAGACTAGTAGAGGATTTAGATAGTGCTAATAAGGGTACTCCCGCCTATTCGGGACTATATAGTATCTATAGGGGTTCCTAAGAATTACTAGGACCTAGTCCCGGCCTATTATAGGGCCGAGGCCTTAACCGTTAATAACGGATTATCTATCGCTCGAATAGACTTTTAGTCCTCTACCTAATAACGTCGCTTCCGTTCACGTGCCCCCGGATATAGACCCTAGATAACCACCCACGGTTCCGTTAGTGCCCCCGCGTCTGCCCCTACGTCCGCGCCTATACCTACGCCTATGCCTACCTCTAATTACCCTATACGCCCTAGATAGTCGTCGTACCTTAACTCTATTACTTACTATAACTATAACTAAAAGGGATACTACGCCACTATATACCTTAGCCCTTATACTAAAAGGTCGCGTCCGAATAATAATAGTAACCCGAATACCTAACCGGTATCTATATCTCGCCCCACGGTCGGCCGTGTCACGGGCGAGGTGCCCTAAGAACTATACCCGCCTCGGACTACCCCTACTACTATACTAGTAGGGGCACGCGTTTCCCTTCGCTAAGGTAGGGAATAGGTGTAGACGTTAGCCCTCCTTAACGGAGGCGCCGATATTAACGTTTTGGATCGGTCCCTTCTAGGACCTAGTTAGGTTCCTAAGGGGTCCCTGATCCCGGTATTATAGATTACGGAAGGATAAACAAAGATAACTCTAGGATCCACTTATAGGATTATCGTCGCTACCGACTACTAGAGACGTAAGAAGGTATAACGCGCCGAGTTCTACGTTATAAACCTTATAGGCGCGAAAATTATCCTAGGGAGGCCGTGACTTATAGCCGTTAACCCTAACGTTAATTAGCAGTATAGTATATAGACCTACCCCTTAACCTACGTAGAGCTCGGCGTGGTTATATCCCTAAGAGAGCTATGTAGGGTAGTTAGATAAGCTAAGCCTATCCTTACTCTAACCTATATAGGTTCTACGCGGGTTCTACGTATCGGCTATATCGGCCTAGCAGAAAACCCTTTAGTGGGATATAAAGATAAATTCTCGGAGGTAGACGTAACCGTAGACGTAGACCCTATTACCCCTACGCTGCCGGAACAGTATCAAGATTTCGCTAACGTCTTTAACGTCGATAACGCCGGCCGCCTACTAATGTATTAGTAGTAGAATCACGCTATTAAGATCGAGGAAGGGAAGAAGCCTCCCTACGGTCCTATTTACCCTCTCGCTATACAGGAACTAGAGGTGCTACGGTAGTACCTATAGGATACCGTCGCCAAGGGCTAGATTAGACCGTCTATTAGCCCGGCCGGCGCCCCTATTCTATTTATTCCTCAGAAGGGTAGTAAGCTACGTCTTTATATCGACTATAGAGGATTAAACAAGGTGATAGTTAAGGACTATACCCCCTTACCCCTAATTCATGAAATCCTAGATCGGTTATTATTAGCGTAGTACTATACTAAGCTGGATCTTAAAGATACGTACTATCGGTTACGGATTCGGGAGGGCGATAAGTGGAAAATAGCGTTCCGGATAAAATACGGCCACTACGAATACCTCGTTATACTATTCGGGTTAACTAACGCCCCCGCGAGCTTCTAATGGTATATTAACTAGGCGTTAACGGACCTTATCGATACTATCTATATAGTCTACCTTAACGATATCCTTATTTATAGTAAGGACTTAGTTACCCACCGCGTGCACGTTCGCGAGGTTCTTATAAGGCTTAGGCAATAGTCCCTATATACTAACCATAATAAGTATAAGTTCGAGACTAAAGACGTTAAATTCCTCGGGTTTATCTATAGCCTAGATAGGGTACGTATAGACCCGGCCCGTATTAAGGCTATCCGCGACTAGGAACTCTCTAATAGTATTAAAAAGATATAGGTCTTCCTAGGCTTTACGGGTTTTTATAGGCGTTTTATTAAGAACTACTCTAAGGTGGCCGCCCCTCTTATAGACTATCTCAAAGGGGGACCCATTAGGGGCTACGCCGGGATTATAGTATTATCCCTGTAGGCTTAGTCCGCATTTAAGGAGATAAAGCTACTATTCTAGAAAGCGCCGGTCTTACGGTATTTTAACCCCGCTCTACTAATACGTATTAAGCCCGACGCTTCTGCTTTTATAATTAGGGCCGTTATTAGTTAGCTCGAGGATAGGCTCTAGAGACCCGTTATGTTTATATCTTATAAGCTCCGCGGCGCCGAGCTTAATTATAGTATATCCGATTCTAAGCTTATAGCTATTATTAAGTCTTTTCGGACGTGGCGGCACTATATAGCCTATAGTTAGAGCCCTATAGTGGTCCTAATAGACCACCTAAACCATCGATACCTGCTAGATAAGCCGAAGCTTAAGGGGCAGCACGCGCGGTGGCTTAAAGAGCTCGCCCTATTTGATTTTAAGATTTAGCACTGTCTGGGGACGTTGAATCCCGTGGATAGGTGATTAAGGAAGCCCTAATATACGCCCTATAAGCGTGCCCTAATTACTGACCGGGCTAAGGCGGTAGAGTCTTTTTCTAAGCGTTTTATAGGCTATATTAGGAACTAGG